CTGAGTCAATACATCTCATTGAGGGTCTTCCTTTCTTGCGCTGTCCCTCCATCCTTCAAGCATGATATCCCTCTCTAAGGACTGGTCCCTCCTTGCAACATTCCCAAAGTATTTCAGACAGAGCTTCAAAACTCTTTCCTCCAAGGAGCAAACTGGTTTCACTCTCTCCAGGATGAATCTGTTTGTTCTCCTAGTAGTCCACGGTGTGTTCAATACTCTTCTCCAGCACCACAACTCAAAGACATCAATTCTTCTTTCATTCCTAGTCGTTGTCTAGCTTTCTGATGAATAGCAAGTAATTGAGAAGACCATGTCCTGGATCAGGCACACCTTAGATACTGTTAGATAAAGACCACATTTTGGGGGATCCTCTTTATTGGCGATGGAAACAAAGATGAACCTATTCCAATCAATTAGCCAGGATGCTGTCCTCCATGTGTTAGTTGAAACAAGTCAATTGATAGCCCATCAAGTCTTAGGGCCTTAAATTTTACCAATAGCTTTAATGCAACTTGAATTTCTTTCTTCATTACCATTAGCTATTGATAATATGATACTTCCTGGAAAATGTCAATGTCAACCAATTGTTTTTGGTAAAGTGATTCTGTGTATTCTCTCTATCTACTTTTAATTGGTTCCTGAATCATTTAAGAGTTTGTCCATAGCTTCTCTTAGTATTCAAGGCTTGAATATGGTTTTTAAGTTCTTTCAGCTTGAAAAATACTGAGTGGGAGATGCTGGACCAGGAGAGGGTATAGTAGGGAGTGAGCCACAGGGAGTGAGCAAGAGAGCTGGAATTTGAGTGAGGTACTTTGTGGGGCTCACTAACATTTGGACCTTATGGGATCCCTTAAGCTCAAGAAGAATAGAGTGAGACATCTGGAGCTTGAGGGAGGCAGCAGACCAAGTTCTCAAAAGGAAAATCAAGGCTTCCTGGTTTTCTATTCAGGTCCCTGCACATGCCTACCCTGTGAGTGTCTGCATACACACCCACCCTGAGATCATCTGCATGTGCATCCATCCTGCACGCATCTACATGTGTACCCACCCAGCACGTGTAGCTGCCCTGTGTCCGTGCCCAGCCTGCATGTATCTTCATGCTCTGCCTTGAATTTCCTCATGTCCAATCAACTGCCTTTAGTCTGGAGAGCCTTGGCCTGTCCTAACTGCCACAGTAATCTGACAGAAAGGCTGTTTTCACAGGCCTTTTCTCCCCCAAACTGAAACAAATCTTCCCTTGGATCAGAAGTTCAGAGAGAAACACAGATAGGTTAGCTGCCCCACCCTCTTCTGGAGCAGTGACTTCAGATCAAGAACCTGCTGTCACCTCAGGCATGAAAAACTCTACCAAAGCAATATCACGTAAGAAGCAGGCTACTCACAAGCCCAGAGCAAGATGTAACCCCCCAAAAGGGACAGTATCAATAAATTTCCTAAAGTTAGAAAGTCTTATGGAACTTTCTGACACAGAATTGAAAAGAATAATGATTGAATATTTTCAATGGATGAAAGACAAACTTGAAGAATTATAGGACACTGCAAGCAAAAACCAGGAAGAACTTTTTTTAAAAATCCAAAACAATGCACATAAAACAAACGAGGCATTGTTGTTGTTGTTTAATGCCTTCGAGTCATAGACGACTCATAGCAACCCTATGAATGAACAGCCTGAGCACTGTTCGTACATAGATTTTCTGGAGGCAAGCCATTTTGGAAGTGGATGCCGCTGCTGCTTCCAGGCTTGATTTAGTCAGGAAGCTCCAGCCAACACTGTCCACCATGGGTGCCCATTACCACGACTGGCACATCACTGTCACAGGTTTCAGCATCACAGCAACCACGAGTTACGTCTGTACAGCAACACACAGACCAGTGCTATACCACCTAGAAGAATGTTTGACAGGAAGACAATTTGAACCTGGTCGAGGACCACAGATGACAATCACCCACCTTCGGCTTGGTAGCACAGCTTCCTTCCACTAGGCCAACGTAACTCTCTCTTGGTCATTGTTATTGTTGGTTTTTGTGTGTGTGTGTGTGTGTTGTGTGTGTGTGTTATTGTTGTTTAATGCCGTCGAGTTGTAGATGACTCATAGCGACCCTATGAACGAACAGCCTGAGCACTGTTCGCACATAGTGTTTCCGGAGGCATTAGAGGCTCTGGAAAAGCAAGAAACAGCAATCCAAAATATGGGGTCCAATGTTTCAGATGCTGTCAATATGATGGAGTGACACATGGACAGAGTTGAAGGGATGGAATACAGAACCAGTGAAATAGAAGATAGAATTGTTACCACTGATCTGCTAGAGCAAAAAACAGAGTCAAAAAAGGAAAGAAAAAGAAGAAAACCACCATCAAGTGAAAGAAAATGCACGTCATTGGAATCCCAGAACAGGAAGAAGCAAACAAAGCACTGAAAAAGTTGTGGAAGAATTACTAGAAGAAAATTTCCCAGGCATAATTGAAGAATGAGAGAATATAGATTCAAGAAGCTGAGTGAACACCATATAGAATAGACTCCAAAAGAAAAACATCAAGGCATATCGTAGTCAAATTTGCCACAACCAAATGTAAGGAGAGAATCCTGAAAGTAGCTAGGGAGAAACAAAGAGTAACCTATAAGGGAAAGCAAGTAAGATTTAGTGCCAATTTTGCAGCAGAAACTATGTGAGCAAAAAGACAATGGAATGACATATATCAGACACTCAAAGAACACAGCTGTCAACCAAGAATATTGTACCCAGAAAAATTGTCCATCAAATCTGAAACAGAGATCAAGATATACCCAGAAAAACAGAACCCAAGGAAGTTTGTAAAAACAAGACCAGCATTTCAGGAAACATTGAGAGACATCCTTCTTGCAGAGGTGCCACAGAGAGCAGGATGGACCAAAGTAACTAGCAACAACACCAAAAAGATCTCAACAAAATGATAGCAATAACACATTGCCTCTCAATAATCACACTGAATGTGAATGGTTTAAATGCACCACTGAAGAGAAAAAGAGTAGCAGATTGGATAAAAAAATCCATCAGTATGCTGTTTACAAGAGTGAAAAGGGAAAATAAAGAAAGACTAAAAATAAAAGGGTGGGGGAAAATATACCAAGCAAATAGCCACCAAAAAAAAAAAAAAGCAGGAGTAGTAATATTGACCTCTGATAAAATAAATTTCAATGCAAAAGCCATCACAAAGGACAAGGAATGTCACTACATAATGCTTAAAGGGTCAATAGAACAAGATAACATAACAATAATAAATATCTATGCACCAAATAATAGAGCTACAAAAGATATAAAAGAAACATTAGCAAAACTGAAAAAGGAAATAGATAACATCACCACAGTAGTTGGAGACTTCAATACACCACTCTCATGAAAAGAGAGTACTACCAGAAAAAAACTCAACAAAGACACTGAAACCACACGATAAACCAACCTGATCTCATAGATAATTTATAGGCTACTGTACACCAGAAAACCACAATATACCCTCTTCTCCATAGAATGTTCTTGGTGAACAGATCACATTATCAGTCACAAGGCAAGCATCAATAAATTTAAAAAAAACATAAAAATAATACAAAGCATCTTCTCAGAACACAATGCTACAAAATTAGAAATTAACAAGAGGGTAAAGGAGAAAAAACCCCCCATACATCTGGAAGCTGAACAACACCTTGCTTGAATATGAGTGGGCACTAGAAGAAATAAGAAATGAAATAAGAAAGTTTCTTGAAACAAATGACAATGAAAACACAATAAACCCAAACCTCTGAGAAACAGCCAAAGCAGATTAGAGGTCCATTTATAGAAATAAGTAAACATAACAAAAGGCAGGGAAAAAATGATCACTGACTCTCTAACCCAACAACTCCAACAAATTGAAAGAACAGCAAGAAAACCCCAAACTCTCTAAAAAAGTGAAATTCTAAAAATTAGAACAGAAATAAATTAAATAGAAAAACAATTTGAAACCATCAACAAAACTAGGAGTTGTTTCTTTGAAAAGATCAATAAAATCAACAAATCACTGGCAAAACTACAAAAGAAAAGACACAAATAAGCCGAATAAAAGATGAAATGGGAAACATCATAACAGAACCAACTAAAATAAAAAGGCTAACCATGAAATACAAATATAAAAACCTAGAGGAAATGTAAAAATACTTAGAAATGCACAACCTACCTGAACTGACAGAGACCAAAATTGAACACCTGAACAGACCCATTACAAAAGAAGACATTGAAAAGGTAATAAAACAACTTCCAGCCAAAAAAAAAAAAAAGAGCCCTGTACCAGATAGTTTTACAAGTGAGTTTTATCAAACATTGAGAGAAGAACTGTCAACAGTTCTACATAAAAACACTATTTCAGAAAATAGAAAAAGATAGAATTCTTCCAGACTCATTCTATGAAGCAAACATATCTTTGATACCAAAGCCAGGTAAAGACACAACCAAAATACAAAACTGTAGGCCAATATCTCTCATGAACATAGATGCAAAAATCTTGAATAAAATCCTGGCCAGTAGAATTCGACGATACATTAATAAAAAATTCACCATTACCAAGTGGGATTCATAACAGGTATGCAAGTATGATTCAACATAAGAAAAACAATTTTTATAACCCATCACATTAACAAAGCAAATAAGAACCACATGATCCTATCAATTGATGCAGAAAAGGCCTTTGACACAATCTAGCACCCTTTCCTGATTAAAACACTCAACAAAATAGGATTAGAGGGGAATTTCTTCAACATAGTAAAAAGTATTTATGCAAACCTGAGAGCCCACATTGTTCTCAATGGAGAGAGAATTAAAGGCATTCCCTTCGATAACTGGAACTAGGCAAGGATGCTCTCACTTCTCCTATTCAATATTGTATTAAAAGTCTTAGTGATAGCAATAAGGCAAGAGAAGGAAATAAGAGATATCCAAACTGGCAAAGAGGAGGTAAAATTATCTCTATATGCTGATGATATGATAGTATACTTAGAAAACTCTAAAGATTCAGAAAGAATGCAACAATGAATGAATGAATGAAAACCCCAAATCTCTGTAAATGTTCATTAAAATTAATAAAATTCAATAAAAAAATTCAGAAATAAATTTGCTGGACATAACTGACCAATTTAGCAAAGTGACAGAATACAAGATCAACATAAAAAAATCAATTGGATTTCTCTACAATGACAAAGAGAATACTGAACTGGAGCTAAGAAAAACAATACCCTTCACAATAGCTAATCACAAGATTAAATATTTAGGAGTAAACCTAACCAGAAGCACAAAAGACCTATTCAAAGAAAATTACAAAACATTACTACAAGAAACAAAAATAGACCTGGAGAAATGGAAGAATATCCCTTGCTCATGGATAGGAAGACTCAATAATGATAATATTAAAAGGCAATTTACATATTCAATGCAATCCCAATACAAATATCAATTCCATTCTTCAACAAGATGGAAAAGGCAATCTCCAGTTTCAGTTGGAATGGAAAGAGGCCCTGAATAAGCAAAGAACTCCTTAAAAGGAGAAATAAGGTAGGAGGCATCTCACTCACCTACTACACTGCCTTGGTGGTCAAGACAGCATGGTACTGGTATAATGACAGACACATTGATCAATGGAATAGAATTGAGAATCCAGAAATCAGCCCATCTACCTATGGTCAATTTGATTTTGACAATGAGATGGAATTAGTTAAGTGGGGAAACGACAACCTTTTTAAGAAATGATGCTGTCAAAATCGGGAAACTACCTGCAGAAAACTCAAGCAAGGTCCACATCTTACTCTATACTAAAAAGAAACCAAAAACACAAAACTCAAAGTGGATCATAGGCCTAGGACTAAAACCAAGGACTATACATTTCATTAAAGAAAAGCTTGGAAGAACTCTAGAAGTCCTAATCCACAACATAAACAGTCTTCCAATCATCCTGAAAAATTTATAACCAAGAGAGGATAAAATAGATTAATGGGACCTTGTAAGAATCAAATCCCATTGCACATCCAAAAATTTCTCCAACAGGGTAAAAAGGGAAGCCACAGACTGGGAAAAAATATTTGGTAATGACATGTCAGATAAAGGGACGTATATATAGAAT